ATTAATCGAACCCATAGCTTTTTCTATTGTCCATCATCTTTCTATCGTCTCCTAAGTTACACATAGCTTTTTCTTTCTTGTGCCGCAAGGAAACTCGCGAAACAGAGTTTGACTCGCTAATGTAAAGAGATTATTGAATGAATGTGCCGGAAAGGGTTGTGTGAAGTATTTAGGACTTTGTTCTATACGATTTGGTCTCTTCAATGATAAAAAGAAGTTTTATTAGGTGGTGAAGATCAAAGATTTAAAAAGTAGTATTAGTGTATCATTAAAAGAAGAGGATTTTTATTAGTTTATGAGTTTGGGGACTGTCGGCATTGGAGAGGAAGGATTTGGTGGGCAGGAAGTTGTTAGTAGAAGAACAGGTCTGTAAAGTGAATCTAAACGATTCGACAACAACAAAAGAAGAGTTCGCCCTATCACGTTCTCTCCTAGACACAACTCCCGAGGTAGTAGTCCGGCAATGAGATTCATTCTCCGGTGTACCTCCGGCGACATTGCAGTGGCCTATCCCTAATCGGCTTCTCTTTCATCCTTCACCGGTGACCCGAAACTCACCGACGACGGTCTACACTGATTCGATGCTTTTTTCCCCGCCTCCACTCTCCGCGGCGACAAGCGACATCAATCTGCTCAACTCCCTTGCTTACCGGAGGAGGAAGATCCTTGAGAGACTGATGAACTCTTTTCGACCGAGCCACCGGACTCGGCGGACTCACTCTCCCCATCGCCACCACCGCTACCACCGCACTCCGTCCCATCCTATCGGAGCTTCTCGGCTGCTACTCCGATATTGTCCCAAATTTCTCCACCGGTGAAGTCTTCTTATGCCGGAGTTATCACCGGAGCTGTCCACAACGGAAAAACCCCACCGCGTCTCAGCCTGACCACCGTCCATCACCGCCTGCTTCCGCCGATGACCATTCTAGATCTTAACGGCACGAGATCTGAAAGGCTGGACAGCGATCGAAAGCTGATAAAGCCATCCCCGAAATCCCTCTCCCTTCGAACCCGGTATCGAGACTCTGTGTCAACCCTTCGCCCTTTCCCCCTCCGTGGTCTCAGATCGAGTCCTCTGGCCCATCCAATCCTCTCGCCGGCAACGATCTCAGTCCCAGCAAAGGCTGCGCGGTGGCTCGGATGCTCTGTGTCAGGCCAA